TTTTCTTCTGTAAAAAATCTTATTTGTTTTATTTGGGCTAGAATAAAAGCAGTTTTGATTTTTTTTAAAAACATTTTAAGGACAAAATTATTTGCCTCTTTAAGCTATATATATTTTTGATAGTCTACAGAACGAACCATCATTATACAATAACTTGCCTAATTACCCTAACCTGCCTGGTTAACTAACCTAGTTAAGCCTTTATATGTGACTTTAAGCTGTTTAAGCTGTGTCTTGAAAAACATCTATTAAAATATTATTTATTGTCATCATGGCAAAGCTAAAATATTTAGATGGGATAATCAGTTATTAGAAGTGAGTTATTAAAACTATTATGTTTAGACATGTGTTGAAAAAAATCTGTTGAACAAAAATTGGGAAAAATAAACAGGGGGGCTAATAATTCAGGGGGGTTAATAATTCTGACTTCAACTGTATAGATATGAGCAATATCACACGAGTAGCAGTACGATATGGCTGTATTTTGGCACTGCAATGGCTCAAGGCCGCAGGCCAAGTGGCTTAGTTTTCCATCAGTGATGAAATACAGTCATATAGCCTTGCTACAAGTGAAATATTGTGTTTTTACAACAGTTTGACGGCATAATTGTGTACATAAAAAGAAAATTAAACACGGAGAGTCTTTAAAAACCCTTTTGCAAGAGGAACTACTTTCTTCCATCACTCATTCACATCTGCAGCTGACTGTCAAAACAGCAGAAACCATTACTAATTCACAAACATCACTTTAGAGCTGGTAGTTGAATGATTCTCTAGCGTAATGTCTAAAATTATGTCGAAACGCGATTTTGCTCACATTTTAAGATTGTAAGGCTGAATGACATGAAATGCCATCGGTGTACAGAGATTTCCCATATTTATCTGTTTATCTGTCGGGAGATCACAATGATTAAGCCCGAAAAAGCCAGAGAAAAGCAAACACTACCAGTTCCTGTGGTATAAATACAGCAATACAAAATACAATAAAGAGAGATTGAATTAGGATGTCACTTAGCTGTTCTGATGATTTGTTCACCAGTAGTTGGAAATGTACACTGAACAATCTGTTGTTTTTCTCCCCTAAGGACTTATTTTAGCGGTCTTTGTCACCATTTTATAACGGAACTGCAACAGTCTATGTTCTGCTGCTCAGTATCGCAGGCTGACCGAATCTCCGAATCTTCAAAATTATGAATATTTCAAATAGGAACTGTCCTTAAAAATAAACTGCATAGATGCAATCTAAACAATTATATTGTCGCCTAAAAAAGTCTCAAAAGTACATTATGTTGTCCAACAGCTGCAATATTTGTCAGACTGTAGTCCTCTGCTTGCTGTAGCCTTCTGTGGGTGAAGTAATACACAAGGGTGAAGAGGCTGACATTACTTTAATATCTCACGGCCATTAGCCATTCAAATTCAAGAATCAGACAACTGTTACAGTCAGAACTATACAGTTGAAGTCAGAATTATTAGCCCCCCCTTTGAATTTTTTTAAATCTTTTTTTAAACATTTCCCAAATTATGTTTAAAAGAGCAGATAAATTTTCACAGGAAGTCTGGTAATATTTTTTTCTTCCGGAAAAAAAGTCTTATTTGTTTTATTTCGACTAGAATAAAAGCAGTTTTTTAATTTTTTAAACACCATTTTAAGGACAAAATTATTAGCCCTTTTAGGCTATTTTTTCTGATTATACAATAACTTGCCTAATTACCCCAACCTGCCTAGTTAACCCAATTAAACTAGTTAAGCCTTTAAATGTCACTTTAAGCTGGATAAAAGTGCCTTGAAATATATCTAGTAAAATATTATTTACTGTCATCATGGCAAAGATAAAATAAAACAGGTATTAGAGATAAGCTATTTAAACTATTATGTTTAGAAATGTGTTGAAAAAAAATCTTCTTTCTGTTAAACAGAAAACAGGGAAAAAATAAACAGGGGGGCAAACAATTCAGCGGGGTAATAATTCTGACTTCAACTGTATATATACTAGAATTCACAGTTAGCTCTCCTGTGACAATGAATTTTTCACAGTATTTCCTATAATATTTTTTTCTTCAGGAGAAAGTCTTATTTGTTTAATTTCCTCTGTAATAAAAAATAAAAAATATATAAAAAACATAAGGTCACTATTATTAGTCCTCTTAGCAATAATTTTTATTAAGCAATATATTTTTTAGATTGTCTACAGAACAAACCACTGTTGTACATTGACTTGACTAATTACCCTAACACATATAAAACAATATACACTATATATGTACAATAACAAAAAGTATCAGCATCTTGCTACCTGATTTTTTATGTCAAATTCAAAATTTAAAATGTTTTTAAATTTTCAACATCAAGTTGACAGAGAAGAGAAATAAATGAAAACTCATGGATCACAAACTACAGGAAGCTTGTTAATCAGATTTTTTTAATTGAATACATGCTGTATATACTAATTTGAAACTTGCTTCAGTTAAAAATGTGATTATGAATGATTTGGATGTACTGATGACGATTCGGATGTGCTGCATCTGCCATGTTTTTACAGTTAAGTGACCTATAATTTGAGTTACACTGGTTTACTGCCATTCACATCCCATCTAATCATCTGTAGCCTCATGGGATAGTAGTGTACATCAGAATCTGCATTTTAAAATCTCACCAAAAGTAGCAGGTTAATCAGGTACCTTTCATTGACTGTTTTATGAATACTATGAATCCTGACATCAGCTCACATACTGTTTTGCTTTCTATAAAGTATGTAAGCATATCTGGATATGTGAAATGCTTCTTAACAAATGATGAATGGTTCAGTGACTCACTCATAAGATAACTGCTTGTTTCACTTCTGATTTACTGTGAACTGGTGGAATGATTCATTGACTTACTGACTCAGACAGAGGCTGAATTCAAAATGCTAGAATAATAGTTTAGCCAAATAAAGACAGCACATGGTAAAACTGCATCCCTGCTATTCTAAATCCAATCTTGTTTTTAAATGCGTCTTAAAATCAGTCTGTGTTTTTGACCAATTATGAACGTTATCCAGGTCTTCTACTTTCACCATGTTTTTATTATAAAGTGGTTAAATATAGATTTTTCATATGGGGTGGAGTGCTCTGTGATTCCAGGATTTCAAAGGATTTATTTATTTATTTATTTATTTATTTGTTTGTTTGTTTGTTTGTTTGTTTGTATAACATGTCTACAATAAATCAGCCCCCAATACTCAAAACTTACCCCAGACTGGTATAGGGAAAATAAAAATCAAATAATTATTAAAAAATACAAATAAAAAATAAATAGTAATAAAAAAATACTATAATAATAATAATACAATGCCTTGCTTGTACTAAACATAAATCAATTAATTTTCTCTCTTTAGGAGATAAAGCACAACGGTCTTTATACATATTCAATTTACATAATCCAAGTCTTAAAGGAATTGGAATGGAAATAAATTGTGAAATATATTGAGTCACCTCTTCCCCAAAATGTTTGTACCTCCTCACACTCCCACATAAAATGAAAAAATGTTCCTTGTATCTTATTGCATTTAAACAAAAATCAGGAATATTAGGGTTGACTTTATTTAATCTTACAGCAGTAATTTAAGTTCTTTATTATTATTATTTGAAACTTTTTTCTTTTACCTCTGTGGAGGTTAATGTTTAAATGTATCATATTTCATGTTAAATTCTTATTTTCTTTTTTTTTTTTTTTTATTGGTTCGTACGCCTTACTCCTCTTTTGACAAGGGCATAAACTATAACATTGATTTTGCTGCCAGTGACAATATTGAAGATTCAATATTGTAGTAAACTTTAGGGATGGACCTCACTTACTATGTGCTATAAATTGAATGTGTTTAAATCATTACTTGAATGTTGTAAATAAACTACATAGCCTGTACAGAAGGGAAGCCCTTTCAGCTGACCTACCAGCTTTAGTTGCATCGTTTCATTGCTGTTCATAAATGCTTGTGGATCTCATGGGATGGAGTTGTAAAACATCCATTATGTCCTCGTTTCTGAATCTTGCTGGAAGTTGTACTTCTTGTTTACTCCTTGAGTTGGACATGGTTCTTTTTTAATTACTCATTTTCACTTACTATATAGTAGTTTGATCGCCCCCTGGTGGCTGGATGCACTACAGGTCTCAAACCACATCCTTACCATGTAAACAAACCAGACATAAGCAAAATATTTAAACAAAACTAAGATATCAAAAAAAAAACATTATATATATATATATATATATATATATATATATATATATATATATATATATATATATATATACATATACACAACACATATAGTTGACTAAAAATGAAAATTACCCTATAATTTACTCACCCATAACTTATTTTGATTTTCTTCTGTCAGACGAACACAGTGTGAGTATTTTAAAATTGTATCCATGTACTATAATAGTGTTGAGTGCCTTTTTGAAGCTCCCAAAAGCATATAAATCTCATACGCCACCATTAAGTAGATCCATGTGTTTTTGTAACAAAAATATTTAACATTTTTAAACATCGACTTACGGTGGCTGCTAAATGTGAATTGTCAACAACTTCTTGGCTGACCTCTGGCTTGACATAAAACGTATTATCCACTTCAGTCTTCTTCATAAGACATGCGTTAACCTCCTGGTGACTGGAGGCTTAGTTTTACAATGGATTTATTTGCTTTGGGAAACTTGCTTTTGGCCATTACCAAACATCATAATACAGCATGAAAGAGCCAGGATAAAATTAAAAATGTCTCAGACTGTGTTTGTCTGACAGAAGAAAGTCAAATACACCAATCATTTTTTGATTGAAAGTCTTAAAATCTTAAACTAATATTTGAAAAACTAATGTGGAAAAACTAATTCTGAAGTGATCAAAAGCTGCTGAAAACAAAACAATCTAATAGAACTATTTGAATATAGGTTAATATTACCTAAAAACAAGCAATATTATGAATTCTCATATTTGTGTATTTGTGTTTTTGTCCAGTGTTGCTGGAAGGTCACATGCAGACGAGTTCATATTCCAGAGGTGGGTCTTGTGGACTGGGGCGAGGCAGAAAACGAGGAGCAACCCTCCCCTAAAAGCGCCAGTCCTCGCATTCTTAACCCCCTGCGCCTATTCGCCCGCGGATCCCCTGGGTTCAAGAGCAACAGGAGGGAGATTGCGTATTTAGAAAACATCGAGGACTCCTGGGACTGGTTATCTAACCAGACAGATGTCCGAGAGACCCAGAGCAGGACTAAACGCAGACCCATCGTGAAAACGGGCAAGTTTAAAAAAATGTTCGGCTGGGGAGATTTCAACTCCAACATCAAGACTGTCAAACTGAATCTCCTCATAACAGGCAAGATTGTGGACCACGGTAATGGCACGTTCAGCGTTTACTTCCGCCACAACTCCACAGGTTTAGGCAACGTCTCGGTCAGTCTGGTACCACCTTCCAAGGTGGTGGAGTTTGAGATCGCCCAGCAGTCCACCCTAGAGACAAAAGACACGAAATCGTTCAACTGCCGCATCGAGTACCAGAAGACGGATCGCAGCAAAAAGACTTCACACTGCAGCTATGACCCATCCAACGTGTGCTACCAAGAGTCCACCCAAAGCCACGTGTCCTGGCTGTGCTCCAAGCCCTTCAAAGTCATATGCATCTACATCGCCTTCTACAGCACTGACTATAAACTGGTGCAGAAAATCTGTCCAGATTATAACTATCACAGCGACACGCCATACGCATCCACAGGTTAAAACAGTGAGAACGACTTATCTCATCCTCACCATGTGTTTCATCTGATTTAGAAGCAATTAAAATAAATCCAGATGTTTCGCATTAGGCTACACCACTGGCATGTGCTTCAACCTCTGCCTTTGCCTTTTGCGATACAGCAGTCGTGACGTTCGTTTGATGGCAAAACTGATTTGGGTTTGTTTTTTTTTCTCTCTCTCGTGGCTTTAAACATCCCACATCCAAGAAGTTAGATTGGGAATTTTTCCATCTTTTTCGCTAATTGTCAAGCTAATAAATTCCGAGACCTACAAAGGATAGAATATAAACGTGAAACACCTTTTTATTGTAAGGTTTATGTGTGTGTTAGTGTGTGTTAGTGTGTATGTGTGCGTTTGAGCAGTTGTCAAGATAAGTGCGAATGGGTTAAATCACGGGGCAAAGACATCACACACAAATGCCTCATCTCGCATTTCACAAAAGCCCTATGTGTGAATTGAGATCTGTGTATAATTTCAAAGAGTAATTTGTGATGTCTCACGAGAGCACAATTCATTGGACAGGTGGATTTAGTGAATCTGGCAGCCGGTTAACAACCCTTTGTCATGGTCTCGCCACAGAGATCCACATTTCCAGGCTCTAATTAACATTAATTATAGTGGGAAATTTCACTTACAAACCATGACAGAGGGGACTGAAGCCAAAAACTGAAATTTAGCATGTCAGTCATGTAGCAAAACCTCTATTCATGCCAGTGACTTTGGAGTGGAATTAAACTTTTTTTGTGTGCTCGCAAAGTGAAGATGTTTCAGGAGTAAATATACGTTTATGCAAACGCACATTGTGTGAGTCGACCTTGTTGTACTGCAAAAACTGTAGCTAGAGATCACCTAAAGGATTCACTATTGTTTGCACATTTTATAGTGTGTCAGTGTGTCGCAATGAACCAGTTGAAGTACCATAGTCTGATAATCAGAACTGGAATTCTCAGGTTCCATATGTGTGTGTGTGTATGTTTGTGTGATTGCCAAACAGATTTTGGCCACTGATTTAATTCTTATCATATCAGGAGCAAGCGATTTGGATCACAGTTCTAATCGAAGTGGATAATTAATTGTACCGGTACTCTAATTGTCTCGACACACAAGCATTATCATCAAGTACATGTTGACACAAAGATAGCTGTTTATCATTGTATTTAGTTTATGATCCTGTGTACAATTTTGTGGATAGTGTATAAATGTGACTATAAAATTGTGTGTATTTTGCCTTTCAAGGATTACTTAGTTACTTGAACCTCTCAATACAGCGTACATGTTTCTACATTTTTGGTGTTTGCCAGAAAAATTAAGTAGATGTAGAATTAATCACATGACTTGTCATGGCTTTATTTTTTTTCACAGTTTCAAACTGTTCACTTTATGTTTGTCCTCGATATCTGTAAAAGAATCTTTATTTTTACCCTCTATGGTACATACTTACACTGGGAAATATAGGGGGATGAAACAAATTTCAGTCAGAAAGTAATTATTCAAAATGGCAAGTAAAATTATTTTGAAGAGTGTAATATTTTCTAAAATGAATTCACTTTTAATAGGGTATTTTCAGAAGGACTTTTAATTTGTCAGTAACCTGGCTCAAGCGCTTCCAGTAATCTGTATACCATTACAAAATCGGCTTGTTTAAGGTCTGTTTTCTTTAAAAATCAATGATCTTCTCTGCCTGATCGATATCCAATATAAAGTGGGTCTCCAAATGTACAGGAAGCACTGCATTAAATAACATTGTTCCCGCCATGTCTTTAAAATATAAAACTTTATTTTACATTGGGGTTTCTGCACTAGCCTGCTGATCCTGATTGGTGTAGCGTGTAAACAACTTTTCATCTCGTTTTATGCTTGAACACCTAAATCAATGCTGAAGTCTATTTAACTAATTATATTGTAATTACATTACAACATCAACAATGTACAACAAACAGTATATAATTGAAAACAGTCACAATAAACGTTCACCAGAAGTTAAACAGTATAGAGGAAAAAATAGTAGCTGTGCATATAACCTATTGATTAAGTAAACAGGTCAACAAAACACCAAGACATTGAGTTTTGGAGAGAAAACAAAATGTCATGTGGCAAAATTATTTAAAAATAGTAAAACTATTAAATAGGGGCATGTTTGTGTTGCAGTAGGTAGCACGATCGCCTTACAGCAAGAAGGTTGCTGGTTCGAGCCCTGGCTGGGTCAGTTTTCATTTCTGTGTGGAGTTTGCATGTTCTCCCTGTGTTCGCTTGGGTTTCTCTGGGTACTCTAGTTTCCCCCACAGTTCAAAAACATTTGCTATAGGTGAATTGAATAAGCTAAATTGTCCATAGTGCATGTGTGTGAAAGAGTGTGTATGGGTGTTTCCCAGTGTTGGGTTGCAGCTGGAAGGGTTGGATAAGTTGGCAGTTCATTCTGCTGACAACTCCTAATTAATAAAGGGATTAAGCCGAAAAGAAAATGAATGAATGAAACTGTTAAATAGCAAAACAAGTTAGTTAATGCTGGTTTTCCTCTGGCATCTGAAATGACCAGTCAAATCAAAGTAGGTGTGCTTTACGATTCACAAGGCATATAAATTCAAACCCAGAGGTTCGTCAGTTTAACATTGAAAGACAGCTAGGATTAAAGCGACAAAACATACTTTTTGAGAACTCTTATACAAAATTAAATATTACGTAGATTGAACTAATGACATACATATCCAGCAAAAACAAATCCATTTTCCCCCTTAAATAAATATTTAATGAGACCCTAGGCAGTAGGCATGTGAGTGAATATTTTTTAAAAGGTTTCTTTTTGCACATTTTATTACATCACAGCTAGAATAAATCCCCGATACTTTTTCTACATCATTTATTAGTAGTAAAAATTAAATTGTACATGTTTTACAAAGAAGGACACTATCACCGCACAGCAACTCGCCGCACTGATTCGAGTCCCGGTTGGGTCAGTTGACATTTCTAAAAATTCAAGCTCAGAGGTTCTTCAGTGTAACATTGAAAGACAGCTAGGAAAGATTAAAGCAACAAAACGTTTTAAGAACTCTTTTACAATATTTAATATTACATAGATCAAACTGATGACAGAAATATCCAGCCAAATTACATCCACTTTCACCCTCTAATTATTATATAATGAGACCCTTTAACATAGCCAGTAGGCATGAGTAGGAGTGAATATTTTTTAAAAAGGCTTCTTTTTGCACATTTTATTACACCACAACTAGAATTAATCGCAGATATAATTTCACTTAAATCAATACATTCTCTACATCATTTATTAGTAGTAAAATAATTATTGTACATGTTTCACAGTGCTTTAACATATGTTATTTAAAACAACTGGATTTGAAGACATCAGTAAATGCCGAAACTAACCCGAAATAAAATGTACAAATGCTGTTTTTCATGACCGATTTACATTAACTAATGTACTTATCTAATGTCAACAAATTAAATCCTATTTCATCAAAATACCGGTTATGAATTTTAAAAGGTCCTTTTAGTTTTAACATTTTTACAAGCTATTCTTTTTTAATGACTGATAAATAAAAAGCTATTGTTAGTAGACAGAGAGCGAGAGAGTTTTGAGTTTATTGCAATATCAGCTTCTATGGCTATATCATGGCAAAAAAAAAAAAAAAAATCAATTACAAATCATTAACTGCAATAAATACACAAGATAAAAATACATACATAATAATAATGATAATATATAAGATAACAATCTAAAATGATTCTTTAAGGTTTGCTTTTACTAAAATTTGTACAATTTTAGAAGGATTCACATTTAAAAATATTTCCTTTAAAGTCTCTCCAGATGAAAATTGTTGTCTGATAACATTAAAAATAGGGCATTCCACAAGAAAACGTTTAACAATTTGGTTTCTGTTGCAAAGGATGCTAGCACATAGCAAAATGGTACCATAGAGAGTTAATATGACTGCCACAAAGAATAAAAAACATATCCAGAGAATATAGCCAGTGTGAGATTTGTAGTGAAGCATCTGCATATTCTCCGTCATTTTTACGATCGCATAAAACACTGATTCTTCTATCAGTAAAATATCACATTACCTCTGGATGAAAACATTACATCCTGTGATATGTGCTTCATTTCATCCAGCTCTAAAACATAGGCTTATTCAATAAAAGGCTTTCTGATGTATGGACCTGTGTTACATTAGTTTAAATGCGCAAGGAAACGACTGAAGCGTTCATCTTTGTTGTTTCTTTCAGAAGGGATTGTCATGTTTTTGACTTTGAGCATACAGTAGACGGCCTCCTACCCTCTGATTTGCAAAGAAATGAATAGAACAAAAGACCAAACCGAATTGTCCTTTGACAGAAAAAAAGAACAAGTGTATGAATCCGCAACGTCTCATTAGCTCAGTGGTGCACTTAAAGATTGTCTTTCAGACAGACAGGAGTGGGAGAGAGGTTTTCTAATAGTGTGATGTTATCGCCGAGTTCCCTAGGAGCCGCGGAAAGCGCTTGGCATGAAGCGGCATGTTGGCACCGGAAAAAAGATGTGTGTTTGATAGCTCAGATTACGGACTGCATGCTGTTCGCTTTAATTAGCCCTGATTTCCCCATCATGGAGGGTGCGAGAACAATTCACTGAAGCTGCTGCAGAAATCACAGTGGTTACGGCACCAAAAACGTTCAACTGTGTTAATGCTGTTTAATATTTAGCAATGTTAAAAAAACAAATGGTAACATTGATGGTCCATTTGAGTATTAGAAGACCGTGCTCAACATCTGCTGATACTGCTCCTTCAACAGACTTTTAACTGACTATAAGAAACTTTGCAAGTACAACTTACACTAAACCCCAACCCCAACTTAACAGTCTACTTATAATCTAACGAAAATTAGTTTAACAAACGGACCATCAAAAAAAGTGTGACCAAACAAACAAACAAGTCTTACGTTTAACAATTTGTAATCTTAAATTCAGCTCGATGCCTGATTTTCTTAATATTGTTCACTGCATCACCTCTTTCCACCTTCAAGTGTTCAAACAACCAAACCAAAATGTCAAAACATTAGTCATTTTGCAGATGGCATTTCACTTACTGCTAAATGTATTAATTGTAACAAGCTGCTCAGGATGAGAACATGAAATAAAAGGCCGCCCTTATTGACGGAAATCTTAGTTCTTAAACATAAAACAAAATCTGTTTAGCTGACTGCCAGAGAGAAACTGCTACTGCCAGTGAAGAAATGACTGAATCACAAAGCTATATTGATGTAATAATGTAAGATCTCTAGCTTTCAAAAGTCTTGTGTGTTTTTAAGCAGTGGATTTATTTACACACACAGACATTTTATTCAGCAAAGACGCGCTCCAGTTACAATATAGATGCGTCTTGAAAATTCTATTTCAAATTTCCAAGAATTTTAGTTGAATTCTTACAGACTTAATTTTAATTTATTGTTAAAACATTGTTTTACATACATGGCCTTTACAGGGCATCTATTTTACCCTTTTTACAAGATGTAAGATAAGCCTTTTATGCCTCCACAATGTGTCTGTAAAGTTTCAGCTTGATAGAACCATCAGATTATTTATTATAGACTCCAGAATTTGCCTATTTTGGTGTCTGAGTATACTATAGCTTTTTTTGTAGCCTGTGGCTTTAAATGAAAATTAGCTTATTTTCCCCGCTCACCATTACCACATTTTTTTTATTAATGCTTAAATAAAGTACAGAACAATACAAAAAAAGGGGTCAGGGGTGCACAAAAAATAAACTTAAATAAGACAAACAAATATATTTGTAAGTAAACAAACCAAGAAAGGGTAAAGGTCTTGTGAGATTACAGGATCTTGAAAGATTTCAAGCAAAAAAAAAAAAAAAAAAAAAAAAAAAAAAAAGGGTTTTAATGTTTTTTTTTTTCATTAGTGCTTTGCTTTAAGATGTTCGTATAATTTTGTAATTATTTTAGAATAGCAGAATAAAATGGCTTTTGGTAGTTAAAATTGCATCTGTGAATATGACACTTTGTAGATATTACCAAAAGATGAATAAGCTTCTTTCTCTATTTTTTGTTACAGATCTCGTATCATGTTTTCTTTGAGAATTGACAATTCCAAAAGATATGCAGCACAGTTTCTGACTGTGACAAACAAAATGAACCGTTTTATTCAATATCCTGTCTAAACCTGGTAAGAAAATGTCTGACAGGAGGATACAATTTTGGCAGAATTTAAATGAGACCACTTTAAATTTGTTAGGCCAAACTCTAAAAATATTTTAATCCCAGGTTATTTGCAAAACAAATGTTCTGTGGACATGTGTATACATGCTATCTAAGAAAGATG